CGAGCCAGAAGTGGCACTGCGCAGCTCTCCCCTTCACAAGCAGCCAACGCCGTGTGCTGCAGCCAGGACGCACCACCTTGGCTCGGGCGTGGGCGCGCGCCGCGCGAGACAGTGCTCTCAGGGCAGAACGGTCACTGCCCGGGGACCACTGTGCCGTGGACACGTACTATACTGTTTGGACTGATGCCATTTTTTCTGTCTTCATTACACCAGGTATGTATTTGGTGCATCTTCTGTCACTGTAACTTTGAAAATTACAATGATCTAAGTTTGAAAACTACTCTCTAAACAATATGGTGTTCACTATTCAGATTTTTACACACCCGCGCTGCCTTATCGGCGCTCACATGGCCAGTACCGGGGAAGGGCAGAGGGCTCCGGAGCCCTGGGCGCCGCCTCCCAGGAGCAGCGGCACAGGAGGCCACCCGCGATCCGGCCCGGCCTCCGGGGGCAGCCCCCCCACCGCCTCCCTGCTCCCTCCCCCTCCTCCTGTGCCAGCCAGGCGGCTCCCTGCCCTCCCCCAGCCGCCGGCCCCGCACTCTTTCCACCCCTCCCGACCTCGCCTCTGCAGACCGCGAGCGCCCGCCCTCATGCTCACACCGGGCTCCGGGCCCACAACGCAGCCGACCGACCGACAGGCGGCCTCCCGGCTTGAGGCCCCGCAGCTGCACATCCACCCCCAGCCCCGCTCCCCGCCGAGCCCGCTGCGGGGCCCCAGTCCCAGCCACCGTCTGAACGCTGAGCCTCCGGTGGGCCTGGCTCCCCTCCCGCACGTGGCACAGCGCCTGGCGCCCTGCACGGCCCAGGTAGGGCTCAGTCGCTGAAAGAAGAACAGGCACTAATTCCTTGGGGGAAGTGACTACGGTTGACATTTCATTGTTTCTAAAACACACTGATTGAAAACACAAGGAGATCCAGACGTCCAAGCCAAACACAACTGCCTTGTGCCAGAGGCTTTCAAAATCTCCTGGTCAAAAAGCAGGAGATTTTGACCAAGTCCTGCCTAAATCCGTGGCTGTCCGGGCGGGGGCGGCTGGTTTCCCGCAGCGGGTTTGCAGTGCGTTTCGGGGGTGCGGCGGACTTGCGTTTCAGGGCCCCGGCACGAGGCCCCCTGCCGTGGGGGTGACCCTCTTCCACCGGCTATCTCCAGGCTGAGCCCCGTGGAACCTTCAGGTGCCCTCCGTCTCTAGGCAGAGTCCAGGCCAGCGCTGGCCCCTCCACCAGCGCCCAGGGGACCCAGGGCGACTCGCCCCGCAGTGCCGGGCCGCCGGGCCCAGGTGCTGGCTGTGACCAGCGGCCGCGTGGCCTGGGACACAGGCAGGTGCACCTCAGGGAGCAGGCCACCGCGCCTACTCTTTAAAAACGGGAGGCTGCCCGAGGAGGCCTGCACATGGCTCTTGGGCGCCCGCACTTCACACAGACAAGGGCCTGTTTCGTGGGACCCTCTGCGAGGCGCCGCGCACTGAGAGACGGCAGGTGGGCTGCAGCTGCGGGGGACAATTGCAGCGACAGGTGCCTCCCGGGCAAGGGGAGCTGCAGAGCAGCGGCGCGGAATCTCGAACACACCTGTGGCAGGTTCCCGCCAGGTGCCTCTTTGCAGGAAGGGGAGGGCCCTCACCACACACCTGGTTAGCAACGTCTGTGCACACCTGGGAAGGGACAGGTCCGTGGGTTCGGCGGGACACCGAGGGCCCCTCTCAGCATGTCTCTACGCACACGTGGAACCGCGAGGCGCGATTTCACAGAGCTCCTGCGAGCCTGGGCCGGCACCCTGGACTCCCGGGGGGCGCGAGGCCGGGCCACAGCCTCTCCTGCTCCTGCCTCGCCGGCCTCCCCCACCCCCCACCGCCCGCCTCCGGCGCTAGCCCAGGACAGGGAGCAGGGGAGCGCGGCCGGCACCGGGACGCTTCCCCGCAGCGTGTGCTCTGCGAGGCAGGCTTTGGCCGGACGTGAGTGTCAGGCACCATGTCATCACATCCCGGGCGCGCGGAGCGGACACGAGCTTCACCCCCGCCAGGACGAGGCAGGCGAACCTGACCCCCGCACGAATAGACCCTCCACCTCCCTGCCCGCCCCCGGCGCCTCAGCCCACGGGCCCCCACCAGGCAGGCGAGGCGTCAGGGTCCTCAGTGTGAGTCCAGCCCTTAGTCAGACCCAGGGCAACATCCTTTCTTCTTTATATGATTTCCCTTTCCCCCAGGCTGCTTCCGGAACCGAGAGAAGAACAATGCGTGTGTGTGGCCGGGGCGCCCAGACTGCTCCTTCCCCCGGGAACCTCTGTGTGGGAATAGGCCTTGCCCGCCAGTGACAAGCCCAGGGGGGCGGGGCTGGCCCTTCCCAGGGCTTCCTTCAGGGCCGACCCTGCACTCCCACCTGACCCTCACTCTGGGGTGCCCCGTCAGCGGCTCGCAGACGTGGAAGTGGCCGGCAGCGCACCTGCCGCGCCCGCGGCTGGGGCGGCGGGGGAGGCCACTGGCTCTGGGAGCCCAGCGTGTCCCACCCTCGCCCTCTGCCCTGGGGCGGGGCTGTGGGTCTCACCGTCAGAACCCACCTTGGCACTGACGAAACAAACACCCACACACTGATTTTTAGGTGCTGCCCTGATCTCCTGTATCTGAATGTGAGCCTGGGGCCTAAGAACTCTCTTTCTGGGTGGTTCCCACACTAAAGACAGGAGCAAGGACCGGTCTCCGGTCCAGGGCCCAGAGGGGGGTCTCAGCTCCAGGGTCAAACAGGGGCCGTGAGGCTGCGTGCCCAGACACCACCTCTTCCCCTCCCTCCCTCCCTCCCAGACGATGTGAGAACAGGCCCTCAACTGCTCTTGGACACAAAAATTAACTCAGGATGGCCCTGGCTGGGGTGGCTCAGTGGACTGAGCGCCGGCCTGTGGACCAAAGGGTGGCCGGTTCGGTCCCCTGTCAGGACACAGCCCGGGTCCCAGGGCAGCCCCCGTGGGGGGTGTGCGGAGAGGCAATTGATTGATGTAGCTCCCGCACATCAGTGTTGCTCTCTCTGTTCCTCTCCCTTCCTATCTCTCTAAAATAAGTCTTAAAAAAAAATAATAATTCAAGGTGGATCACACCTTGAGCGCTACAACTATAAGACATCTAGGAGAAAACCTAAGAGGAAATCATTATGGCCTGGGATCAGGCAAAACTTCTTAGTTAGAAAAGAAGAGCAGAAGAAAAAAACGGCACACTAGACTCCATCTAAATCTAAAATTTCCGATTTTGAAATTCTGCTGTAGTATCAGAAGGGAGGCGCGGACGTGCCAACGGCATGCGGGGATGGGCTTCCGCGGCCGGCGCGGCCGTGCGGGGCACGCCCCGCGCCACTGAAGTCCCGGCAGACCCCCGCAGGACGGCAACATCAGGGCTGCGGCCCCTCGGCACCCGCGGGGGGCTGGTTCCAGGGACCCCGAGGACACCAAAACCCAAGGACACTTTCCAAGCTGCGACACGGACGCCAGGGTTGGAAGGGCCTGCGTGTTTGTTAGGGAAACGCAAGGGCACCACGGACGGGGGAAACAGGCTCAGCCGTGGCTCGGGGACGGTCCCTTGCACAAGCAGTCCTGCCCTCACCAGGCGACCCAGCAGGCCCGGCCCCAGGTCTGCCCTCACAGGGGATGGGCGAGACCTGCGCACACAGGCCTGGGGATGGGCGCTCAGCGCGGCTTTCCCTGTGGCGGCCGAGCAAGGGGGCGTGCCCACTCAGGACTGCGCGCCTGCCTCGCCGGGACGCACCCTCAGCGGTCAGCAAGCCCACCATGGAGGTGCTCCTCCAAGCCAGAGCCTGGGCCGCACGCGGTGCGCTTCTGTTCACACGGGACTGGGGTGGGGGGCGGGGGGGCGCTGGCGGTGATGGGGCCGGCCTGGCGCTGCCTGGGGCGGGGGCAGGCTTCAGGAGCCTGCTGGGTGACGGAAACATTGCTGGTCCTCAGTGCAGCAGGGGCGCCACCCCTGGGGCCACCTAGCAAGCGGCTCACACTGCCCACTTACAGTAAGAGTGCGTTGCTGCTCCAGGACCCGCGCCAGCGACGCGCAGACGCAGGCCAGCAGCGGGCCCCGGGGCACCGCGCGGCACACAGCTCGTCAGAGGCACTCCGACTCCAACCAAAACATTCCGACCCCGGGGCCGCCCACTGAGTGTGAGCCAAGTCCAGCCCTGAGAAACGAACCGGACCTTCGTTACGGGGGCTCCCTCGGAACAACAACGCGGCTGAAACCGTCCGGAGCACAGCTGGGGCTTCCGGGCGTCGGCCGCCCGCCTGCCTGCCCGCAGGCCCTTACTCGTCACAGGCTCTCCTGCCGGGGGCCCAGCTAGTGCTCGCTGAGCATGCGGTGATATTTGGAGAAAGGAACATTCCTTAAAACCACCAAAATACGTAGACTTAAAAAACATTTGACCAAGCACATGTGAAGTTCTAGAATGAAACTATGCTCTAAGTGGCTTGGTCCCTTACGGAAATCTCTTCTAAGTTGGAAAACTACCAATTTTTAAACTTAAGAGGGACATCAAACACGCTGACAAAACCCTTGGGCCGAGGCGGCTGCGGCCCTTGAGAAGAGACGCAGGCGCCCTGGGCACAGGGGCTCCGGGCGCCAGGCCCTGGGGCCGCGGCACACAGGGCTTCTGCGAAGGCCCGTCCTGCGGCCTCCTGAGGCCCCCGGCCGTCTCGGGCTTACGTCGACAAGACTGATGACAACGGGCCGCAAAACCAGGTGCTGCTCAGCGCGCTGCACCCCAGCTCTCATCCTCCGGCTGGCCTCCCCTACCACAGGCTGGCCGCCCGCACTGTCCACAGTGACCCGTGCCAAGCGCGCTTGCCCAAACCCCGACTCCATGGCAACGCTGGGGGGCCGCTCCCTCCCCGACCCTCGCTGCCAGCAGGAGAAGGGGCCAGGAGGCTGAGGGAGAGCTGGCCAGGATGCGGTCCCAGGGCTCCCGAGCACACTCCCGGCCCCCATTTCGGCTCCCCGTCCCGAGCGGGCCGCGCTTACCGATCTGCAGCAGGACAGGCGTGACCAAGGCCGTCTCCATGGCGTAGCAGAACTCCCTGCCGAACATCACGGCCCCGTGCATGACCCACAGGCGCACGGGGATGCGGTCGATGGAGCCCTCGCTGCCGGCCTCGTCGGGCGGCTCCGCGCCGGCGGGCTTCTGCAGCTCGGGCAGGGGTACCGGCAGCTCCTGAACTTGCATAGATTCCGAGTCGGCATTCTGTGGGGCCATTCTCATCACCGCCGAAAATCCACGCGCGTGCGCTCGCTCTGCCTATGTAAATAACACTACCGTACAGCTTTACAGGATAAGTGAAGACGTCTTCTCTTTCTGCTTCCGTTGTGTTCCCCAGCAAGTAACACTTACATTCCTCTTCGTACGACTTTCCACAACCGGATGCAGCTCGCAGCAAAACAAAACGATTTTTGGTTGGATTTTAAACATATGGCTTGTCGGATTACTGTGAATGAGAGTTAAAAATCCATAATTGCCATTCAGTTAATACCAGTTTCATCATTGTGGCTGCGGAGGTGCTGAAGCGGCTGCCCTGGCTGCACACGGGCGGGACGGCGACACGGGGAGGGGGTCCACCGTTGCTCCCCATCGAGCGACTGGCTGACCTGCAACAGAGGAGACGGCCGGTGGAGTGAGCGGGCTGAGCGGGGCCGCCCCAGGCCAGTCACCCGGGAGACCCGGCCCCTCGGCCACACCAGGCCTCTGGTGCTTACTCTGGGGCACCTGGGGAAAAACCAACCCTATTTTATAGAGAAACTGTCTCCTGTGGAACGTCATCCCGGGGGAGAATGAAGATGGGGCAAGGAGGGGGGGCGGGCGCAGAGCACGTAAGCGGACGGAGCTCAGCGCCTTCTCCGTAGCCCGGGCTCGCGCTTTGAGGACGGCAGCACAGGAGCCCCGGCCCGCGGAGGCGTTGGCCTGCGGCTGTCCTGAGGGAGACGGGGGTGGGAGAGCCAGGAAAAGGCTGACGAAGGAAACCAGATACTGCCGGCAGAGGGGCAGAGGACAACGGAGCGATGCCCGGAGACGCGGTGGCTGTCACAACTCGGTGGGGGCAGGGGTGCTGCTCAGTCCCCCACAGGGCACGGCCGAGGACACCCCGCCCGAGAAGGAGCGGTCCAGACGCCAACTGTGCCAGGGTGGAGAGACTGCACCAAGAATATGATGGAAGTTACAACACCAAGAAAAGTTTTCTTTAAAAATGCAGAAACCCTTGATTAAGTGCATTTTGAATCAATCAACCACTGCTCTGTTTTACTAAATCAGTCTTTGATCAAAGCAGCACAGGGAAACGCAGGTGAGCGCATGCCCCGCGCCCCCAAGGAACGAGTGGTGGTCTCCAGGGCCAGTGGCTGAGCGGGAGCAGGGCCCGCGGGCAGTGGCATCTCTCAGGGGTGCAGCGTTGGAGAGAAGGCAGAGCAGGGCCCGCAGGGGCTGAGCTCAGACGGCGCCAGCTCTGGGCCCGGGCCCCGGCCACCAGCCCGGATGCGGGGCTCTGCCCGCAGGTCCAAGGAGCTGGCTCGGCTGCTGAGTGGGACGTGCCTGCCTCGCCTGGGCCAGCCGAGGAAGGCACGGGACTAAGCGCCGAGGGAGCAGAGTCACGTGACAGAAGCCGCCGACAGAGCTACCGCGCTGCAGTCACACCTCGACGCCTGGGGACTCCTAGCAAAGCCTGAAAGTGGCCCGAGACCAGCCTCAAACACACGGCAAACGGGGAGACGTGCGCTCAGCGCGCATCCCAAGGGCCGGAGCGTCCAACACCTGTGGCCCCGCACGGTCAGGGCTGGCAGCTCCCAGGCGGCCGGGCACGGCCATCTGACCCGATGGCAGAGTCTGCCTCACACCCGGGTCCTGCTGGGTGAGGCCGGCGGCCCAGGAGCCTGCGTTTCTAGACACACACACCGGTCCCACTTTAACCTCGTCCACACACGCGGTCCCATCAGAGAAGGGAGCCTGCCGGGAGGGGGCCTCACCTCCCCAGCCCCAGGCTGGGACAGTGCTGGGATCTGCTGGGGGCCTCCGCCTTCAGGGCCTGGCGCCTGCTCTCTCGGTGTGCCCTTTGGCTCCCCTCTGCCCCTGCCTTCTACCTCCAGGGGAGCCACACGGAGCCCTGGAGTCTCTTCTCAAGGCTCAGCCCTCCCCAGCTGGACGGCCGTCGCCCCCGCCCCCGCGGCCCCCATCCCCAGTGGCACACTCTGCCCGGGCTGGGAGAGGCCCCCTGGGTGAGCACGTCAACCAGGCTGCACCTGCTCTCCGGGCCCCGCGGGGCCCGGCCCTGCTGCAGGAGCCCGGGAGGCCGCCGAGGGACGGGCGGGAGGCCCTGACCCACGTGGCTCAGCCGGCTGGAGCTTCGTCCCATAAACTGAAAGGTCACAGGTGCGAGTCCCAGTCAGGGCACGCGCCTGGGTTGCGGATTTGGTCTCTGGTTGGGGTGCATTTAAGAGTCAACACTGATGTTTCTCTTCCCCCCGCCCTACCTCCCCTCTCTCTGAAACCTATAAGCATGTCCACGGGTGAAGATAAAAAAAAAAAAAAGAAGAAGAATGAATGAATGGATGAATGAAAATAACCTGCAAACCAGCTGGCCAGTGCTTCCTAGGGATTGTCTGCACGGGGAAGCCACCCCCCAGCGGCCACACCCAGGCGCTCCGAGGGGCCGGCTGCGAGGACCGACCTCCCGGAAGCTCCCCTGAGATGGCGTGAGGAGGGCGCGGGGTTTACCTGTTAGTCAAGGAGCCTAGGCATTAACACAGCTGGCTTCCCTTCGTCAAGCGGTGCGAGCGCAGCAGCCCGCGGACAGATAGCTCTTACCCAGGTAGCTCCGCTGTCATCTACATTGACGAGAACGACAGACATCGTTAGCATCCTCCGCCGCGGCCGCGGGTCAGCAGAGCCCCCGTGGGGCTCCCCCCAGCCCCCCAGCGAGCGTGCCCCGCAGTGTTCTCGAGTGCGCCTGCCAACGCCACACCGCTCACCGCCGTTTCCGAAAGCGAGCGAGGCTTTTCCAAAGCACTGCAGAAACCTTCCGAACGGTGGCCTAAATAAGGCTGAGCTCACGGCGGTGCCTATGGGGCTCCTTCAGAGCTGCGCACGGGCAGGAGAGCCCGGTGCAAAATCGCCCCTCGGGCTGGCCGGCTGAGGCCCTCAGCTGTAACATTGGCCAGGCCAGATCAAAGTGAAAATTTTTTAAAAAAGAAGAGACTCAAACCTAAAACCTAATGATATTTAGGTTGGACGTTTCTTACATCAACATTCACTTGGCATAGTTGGCAAAACTCTGAAGCAGCGCACCCAGGCCCACCCTGCGGAGCCGGAGCGGGCGCCGGCCCCTGTGCGAGGTACCGCAAGGGCCCCCGGGCTCCACCGGCCCCCACCTCCTACTGCGCGTGCCAGCTTCAAGGTGACTTTAAAGGCCCTCTGACTGCTCCCCGGAGACACCGTTCGCTGGCCAAGACGCTGGATAAAAGGCACTCCGCAACCTCCCTGGAAGGGACCTTATCAGGCACCCAGCTGCAGACAGACCCTGACTGCCTGCAGAGCCCGGCGCCTCCGCGGGGCAGGCGCTGCGGGGCACACAGGGAGGCAGCTGCCCGAGACTGGCCGAGGCCGAGAAGCCCGCAGGCAGACACTGAACTCAGAACCCACTTTGCCTGCCTGCTGATTCTATTAGACATCATTTTTTCAAAAATTGGTTCCTGCCTCAAAAAAAATTAAACCAATAAAGTCAAGATCCCTTGAAGATCACACCAGCTTCTCACCAGCAAGTGTCACCTGGCGGGGCCACGGTGACCGCACACTCCTTTTCTGCAAAGCTCCGGGCATTTTGTAAGCAGTTCAGGGGAGCCCCAAAACCTTGCAGACACCTAGCTGACACACGCACACTGAGCAAGGAGCAGCGCTGCCCGCAGACGCGGGGCGAGCATGCGGAGGGGAGGGGACCGGGCGGGCCTGGCTTGGGGGTTTCTGTCGAAGGCCACGTGAGAGGTTGGCCCTGGGCTGGCACCCCGCGGCAAGCACACCGTCAAGGTCTGACACACGAGGGAGAGAACAAGACCGCGTTCCACAAGCCACTAAGGCACACAGACCGCGCAACAGCCCAGTCGCTATCAGCTCCCAAGGTCAGCGGGGACGTTCCGGGGCCCTGCTCCACGCTCGGGTGTGGGGTGTGAGGTGAGGGACTGCTGCCCCTTTCCCAAGGGCCGGTCAGTTCCCAAGGGCCATGTGACTTCTGAGCCCACGCCAGCACCCTGGGGTTCCCCCTTTACCATGTACCGAACGTGCACCCACGCTTGGCTCCGTTTCTCAGTGGCCTGTTGCTACAGCGTGTGGTCCGACACCCGCACTGAGGGACACACGCCTGCCCCCGCTGAGGTGGGCCCCTGCAGCTCCCTCGTCCGCCCTTTCTACGCATTCTACGCCTTTCCCTGCGCACTCACGCAGGTTTGTGGCGGGCGAGGCACAGGCGCTCGAAGGGCCTGCCTAGCCCTGGGGGAGAAGCGCTCTGTGGGTGCTGCTCGTACCGTTCCGCTAACTTCACGCCAGCCATGGGAGCACGGCTGCCACAGGCGGCGGTGCCGGCCTGTCCCCGCGGAGGGCCATCTCGCCATTCGCCGGGGACGGCCCAGGGCCTTTTCGGAGAACTTCACAGCACTTCTACAGGTTTGGCTCGTTTCTTCAGTTTCTCCCTATTTATCTTTTGGGTGGCAACAGTAAATGGGATTTCCTTGTCCCTTGTCGTTCCAACCGGTAAGCTTGTATACATGAAGGCTAGTAAGTGGTCACTCAGGCACAATTCACGTGCAGTGAAAACGTACTATGCAATCGGTTTTCACAAATTGAGACAAGAAGCATCTCTGACGTAACACCTTGGGAAGTCCCCCTGCATCCCTTCTCATCCAATTAAGGCTACTGATCTATTTTAATTTGATAACCTAATTCTTTAATTGTCTGAGAAGGACAAAAAACTACAACCAATAGAACAGCAACTCTATTAACCATCAGCGAACCCTGACTAGTCCCCACTTAGCTTCCTGGAGGGCTACGCTGCACACTCGGGCAAGGTGTCCGGGACTTGACCACCGAACTCACAGACTAAACTCAGGGTCCTGTCCCGTGGCACTTGTTCGGGGGCTTGGGACGAGGACCCACGCGGCACAGGGCTGCGCTGCTGCTGGGCACCGAGGCTGGGAAAGGAGTGTGAAGCCCTGCCCTCACAGCGCACCCCTCCCGCCACCTCCAGGGCCCCTGCACAGGGGCCACCACAGGAAGGGGAAGGAAAGCAGCTCTGAGAAGCAAAGGGAGGAGCCCGCAGGGGCGGGGCGGTGGGCCATCACGCTTGGGGGGGACAGTCAGATACCGGGAGACCAGGGTTACGCCCATAAAATGACATCCACGGAGTCCTCTTCTTACAGCATGCAAATTGTAAGGAAGCCGTTTGGTATAAGCACTAGAGCATTAACTGTAACCTCTGAAAGCACTGAAACGGCTTCTTCTGAAGCACCCACACCTGAGCCGGCCGCATGGCGAGGCAGCCCCAGGCAGGCCAGCCTGCGTGGCGGTCTGGGCTGCCCAAGAGCCTCCTGGGCTGCTGGAGAACGTGCAGAAGTTGCCGTTGTGACCTGTTTCAGGGTCCTCCGCTCAAGAGCCCGGAGAAACTGCTCAGACAGGCTGTCCCTAGCACAGAAACGGCCGGCATCAGCGACAACAGTTTGGTTAGGATTTGCAGATGCACTTAGATAAGTGAAACTCTGATTGTTCCAATCAACAACTTCCTCTATTGTCCTGTTTCTAATTTAAGGGTAAGTGATGCCAGAACACATGACTTCCTACAGTTCGCTGTGAGGAAAGGCTGGCCGCACACGGGACACCATCAGAAGGTGGACTTGGTCCTTCCTGACAGGCGCCCCGGGTGCGGGCCAGGCCCCGGGCTCCACCTGAGGGTCACAACACTCCACAGGGACACTGCCAGGACGGCATTCGGAGGTCAACCTCCCTGGGAGAGGGTTAGAGAGGAGGTGGTGCGCGTCTGCGTGGCGACCTAAGCGCCCCCGCGCCCTGTGCACGGGCACGCGCAGGCCCGGGCACCGTGGGTGTGCGGCCTGTGCTAGTGGCAGCAGCTGTTTGTTTTGCAAACCCACCATCTAACACAGGCACCTCCACCCTCGAACATGGTTCTAAAACATGACCTGTCAACCGTGAAAAATACTATTATTAACCCTGCCTAGCACGTACCAGTGCCAGCTTCTCTGTGCCGCGCCCTCGGCGGACGGCCGCGACCAGGGTGACTGACCCAGGACCACGTGGAAGCCAGGGACTAGACCCACAGCAGCACGTGGTAAAGAAGATCAGCGTTGGGCCAAGAGTATAAAAAGATGCAACACTGAATCAAGCACGTTGCACGTACCCTTGATATAGCTGATAAAAAAGCGTTCTGATGAACCTGTTCATAAGGTTATGTCCTGAAATCCCGGAAGAAACGCCCCGATTGCTATCACAGAATCGGTGTGTCAGAAGGTGGCAGGGCGAGCCACACACTGGGAGAAATATTCGCAAAAACACACCTCTTAAAGAGCTGTTATCCAAATTATACACAAACACAACAAGAAGAAAGAAAATAAGCAACTTGATTTAAAAATGGGCAAAAAAGTTGGACACTTCACCAAACAACAACATGGAAAAGTGCTCTGCACCAATGCCACCCGGGAACCGCAAACCAAAGCGCCAGCGCGCACGGGTCAGAACGGCCAAAGCCCCGAGTGCCGGCCAGGGCGCGCAGCAGCAGGAGCGCGCCCACTGCTGGGGAAGAGGCGGCGCAGCCACCCTCGCAGGCAGCTCGGCAGTTCCTCACGAAGCTAAACATGCTCTCACATCACAATCCCGCCACTGTGCTCCTTGGCATTCACCCAAATGAGCTGAAAACGTCTGTCCCCAGAAAAACCTGTACACGCACGTTTACAGCATGTTCACGGTCGCCAAAACCTGGAAGCAGCCAAGATGCCCTCCCGTAGGTGACGGACACACAAACTGCGGCCCATACCACTCAGTCCTGAGGGAAAGGAGCTACTGCGTCCTGAAAGGACCTGGAGGAACCCTGACTGCGCGTGACCAGTGACCGAACGCCCATTTCCACGTTTGTTCCCCTGCCCCGGGCACTGGGTCAGGGGGCAGGCGCTGGGGCTGACGGGTCAGGGCGGGGCCTCGCCAGCAGGGCTGGTGCTCTGGTGAGAGCGGGGCCTGAGCTCCGGCCGCTCCGCCGGGCGGGGACGCAGTGAGGCAGCCCGAGACGGAGGGCAGCGCACCTGGGCGCCCGGTGGGAAGCCCTCCCTGCCGTTTACGAGCCTGTGGCCCTCTGCCAGGGCAGCCGGGAGGCCTCCACGGGGCCTGCTTCCTCAGGGGCAGCTCACAGACACCAAAGGCCCCTGTCAGCCCAGGAGGTGAAGGGCCACCTCGGCCCCCACCACCCACCAGAGCTCCACGGTGGGTGTAACTGTCGCCCCTGCCCCCGCGAGACCCACGACCCCAGGGCAGGGAGAGCAGGAGGGGACAAGGGGGCTCCGACGGGTCCAACCCCGACAGTGACGTCATCCCGGGGCTGGTGCCACCCCTGAAGCCCCACAGAGGGTCGCGTGGGCAGGGCGCAGCTGCAGTCTACGCCCAGCACGCTGGGCGGACCGGGCGCACTGGGCGGAAGAGGCATCAGGAGCGCAGCTCTTAGGAAAGGCACCAGGCGGCGTTTGCGGACACTGGCCTTCTGATGGCCGTGGCCACGGCCGCGTGCGCCGCCGGACGCTGCCACTTGCAGGGTCCTGGGTGCTCTCTGCTAGTGCACCC